CCTAGCCTCTCGGGGCTAGGTTTAAAAAGGAGGGGCGGGGGGCCGCCTCCCCCCATTTTTATTGCATCGGCCATACCGTTAAAAATACGGCACGTTAGTGCAAAATTAAACACTGTAATGTTTACACACAGAAATCACAATAGCGTGATGCATCAAATGAATGTTTAAGCCGTGAAAGTTAAGGATTTGTTTACTGTAATGATGACATTTTCTATCGACCTGGCCAGACTAGAAGGTACTTGGCTGGGTACGTTGTCGGTACACAACACTGCTCCCATTACAGTCCTTGCTAATACGTAGCAGTAACTTGTTAATGTGACTTGGTGTCTAAGGCACGACTTTCACTCGGCCCTTACCTCGTATTCTATTTGAAAGACATAATTGGTGTCGGCAGTTCCAGCTGTCAAGTTACCGGGATCCATACAGCCATTGGTGTAGATTGGACCTTGTATATTTTCACCCTCGTCAATTTCTTCATGGGTTCGTTCTTAATGCATACGACGGTGTTAGTCAACAGTTGCTAATTTTAATGTAGAATAGTTGATTGCAATATTACTACAGTTAAGTTATCTATACAAGGGAAGTTCATGCTAGTTCATGCAGAGGGAATTACCAACTCAACCCATACCGGTCGGGGAGCCGGTCGGCCGAGCGGACAGCACGTTGGACTTGTGATCCTGGGTTCGATCCCAGGCGCCGGCGAGAAACAATGGGCAGTGTTTCTTTCACCCTATGCCCCTGTTACCTAGCAGTAAAATAGGTACCTGGGTGTTAGTCAGCTGTCACGGGCTGTTTCCTTGGGGTGGAGGCCTGGTCGAGGACCGGGCCGCGGGGACACTAAAAAAAAGCCCCGAAATCATCTAAAGATAACCTCAAGATAACACTGAAGGATACCTGCTTGATGGGGTTCTGGGAGTTCTTCTACCCAAGCCTGGCCAGAGGTTAGGTCAGACTTGAGAGCCTGAAAGTCTTTGTCGGTCCGTGTTCAATCCTTATCACGATTGATGTAGGGTCCAGGATGGACCGAAACGTAGTCACTTTTAATTTCACGTTTTGGTTCGCTCGTTATTCATTTAAGTTATTGTGACTGCATAGGGAATTGCAGCAAAATTTAAATTTTAAATTTTGCCCCGAGGGGCGAGTTTATTGGGCAGCGCCACTCATCTTGTGAGTGGACACACCGCCATAGCAACATGTACAACACTCCCCTATAGGAAGAAAACCCGCTGGGTTGTTCATCCGTGTGTTCGACGATATAGTGTCAGTTTGCATTGGCCCTTGTTGGTTTTCTCGTATTATATTACGTTAACCATTGTAGTAACACGTTTTGCACACATTTGATCTTTTAAATAGAAGAAAGCATTCTTTAGGGGCGTCGTGCGTGTGTGTGTCACAGCCGGGATAACTTAAGAGACGAGCTATACACGTGAATATTAAACGGATAAGGTTCCAGCAGAGACTTAAACCTAACCAGAAGGGTAGTTTATAATGGCGCTAATGATCTCGTTAGTGTCTAGCCCAACGAACAGTCTCGCTCTCGACATTCTCTCACGCACACCCCCACGTCTCCTCCACACCCCCACGTCTCCTCCACACCCCCACGTCTTCCTCCACACCCCCCTTCCCTCCCTCACTGTGTGCTAAGGTAAAAGGACTTTTGTAAACCAATTTTCCTTTGCTTCGTGTGTTGTGTGGTCCAGCTGTAGTAGGTAGGTACCCGCCAAACACACACTGAAACTACGACGTTGGTACAACGTTCGAACAAGTTTTAACACCTAACCAGTTATAACAACCAATATGGCAAGTTGTAACAACGTTCTAGTTTTCTTCCTATTGGGGAGTGTTGTACATGCTGCTATGGCGGTGTGTCCACAAACAAGATGAGTGGCGCTGCCCAATAAACTCGCCCCTCGGGGCAAAATTTAAAAATTTAACGTTCTAATACGTCATAAACACGTTAAGCCAAGATGTAACAGCTTTATTACAAGTTGTAACAAGCGGAAAATAGAGACAGTTTCGGTTTGTGTTTCCAGGGTACGTAGTAGTGGTGGTGGTTGATGGTGGTGGTGTAATATGTGGTTGGAAGGTTGGGAAGGAGTGGTAGTGGCCTTGGGACACGATAATGTGTGATGTCAGGCGCCCTCGCGCAGCAACATGAGCTTACCTACACAATATTGTTCCGACACACGCCTCGCCGCCGCCACCACCGCCGTCTCCAGTTTTCCACATTCATGGCGCGCAAAGGGAAACTCTTGGTTTATTATGGTCCCGCAAATGCTGGAGGGGGTTAGTTTGTCATTCTGTGTGTTGGTCTCTAATTGTTCTCAGAGGGGTTTGATTTATTTCATAATTGTAGAGGTTTTGTACATTTACAATTGTTTCGGCAGATTCAGAGGGTAGGTTTGACTTTGAACTCACAACTCGTATGTCAAGGATCTGATTTCGACAGGATTTAGATCGACAAGCCATTTGTGTGTGAAGGTAACCATGTAATAATGTAACGTAGGCAGTTACATTTAGTCTGTTAACTGTTACATTATTAGTTAACTTGCCAGCGTTAAAGGACTAATGTGTTTTAATTAACTGCGTATGTCACTTTGTGTCTACGTTACTCATTATTTTCTTAATCATGGGGATGTTTCTGGGAAATGTGGTGATTAGTGATGATCGAATGGCTGGAAAAGCAGCTGATTATTGCTGGGTGGGAGAACCCTGGACACAAATGAAGATCACTGGTCTGTGAACGATTCGTATACCTGGTTGATGGGGTTCTGGGAGTTGTTCTTCTCCCCAAGCCCGGCTTGAGGCCAGGCGCGACTTGTGAGAATTTGGTCCGCCAGGCTGATGTTTGGAGCGGCCCGCAGGCTCACATACCCACCACACCCCGGCTGATCCATATAGTGTGGGTGTGAACAAAAGAGGCCTGGCACCGAGCCTGTGTCACGGGATGCACAACAAAGAAGTCTATAAACTATTTTGCCCCCAAACTCTCGTCTTGTAGTTGACAATTTAAACTGTGACTGAAATAATTCCTTCACCCAAGTCTAAATGCCAAATTCATTTCGTTCCGACTGTCTTTGATGGCGAGTAAACACACTGACAAACTGACCCTTGGAGAATTATAACCCAGATTTTTGTTTCCTGGAATATTTGCCTAATGGTTTTAGTTGAAAGATATTGACGACATAAATCGCGCATTAAAATAACTTGGCCATTTGCTAGGATTGAGTGTGTGTGTGTATTTAGCCCTTTTTTTATTTTTGTATAAATTTTGTTGTTGCTAAAGTTGTTAAAACGGTGAATATCTAATTTATTAGTGTGTGAATGTAGCATAATATCAGTTATGCTAGAGATCCTTACAACTATCTACTGCATGAAACAATTTGACGCTGAAGTACCCAATTGCCACAAGAAAAATTCAAGTAGCAAGGTTTCGGCTCGTCCTGGCTTCTTGAGGCACAACCACTTCGACTTGAGACGGGTCTAGAACGGTCACGTTATTGTGACTTACTCTCTTCATGCTGACATTGCTGCAACCTCTTGCTTGCAGGTCAGTATATTGCAGCATTACGAAGGTGTGACAATATCTGAAACGGAGGAATCGTTTAGATTAGTTTAGCGAGCATAAGAAATATTGCCGGAACGACCGTGGACATCTTCAAGAGGAAACTAGATTGTTTCCTTCAGGGAGTGCCGGACCAACCGGGTTGTGGTGGGTATGTGGGCCTGCAGGCCGCTCCAAGCAACAGCTTAGTAGACCAAACTCACAAGTCGAGCCTGGCCTCTGACCGGGCTTGGGCAGTAGAACAACTCCCAGAACCCCATCAACCAGTTATCATCCAGTTATCAACCAGATTGCGCTACAGAGGCTAGTATATGAGAGAGATTGAAATCTAAATCAGAGGTGATTGTGGCATGTTCTCCAATTGCATGAGATTGTGAAAATGTTGAACTGTCAAGGTAGTTGCAACAAAACGCGAGACAGGTTTTGATGGTTTCGGGGTAGTTGAGCAGGTTAGTTGTGGACACAGCTTGGCGGAGTAGAACTATTCTCAAAACCCTATCAAACAAGCAAGGTGGTGTCGAGGCTGGTTCAGTGTGCTCCTGTCAGGTCTCTTATCACAGGCTTGAGCAGGTGCTTGGACTATACGATGCGATCAAAAGTCCAGAGATGCGGGTTTGATCCTATTATGATCCCCATATCGTCCCAGATATCGCCTCAGATATCGGGGTCACTAATCGTACACTAATCACTACACACACTTATCACATTCTTATAATTCACTTACGCCCTATCTCTGTTTCTTAGATTTGACATGCGAGTGAAAGATCACAGTCAATTACAAAGTTGCAACTGACAAGGCTGACGTTGAAATGCAAGTTGAGGTCGAGAGATTTATATAGGGCGTGAGATTTATATAGGGCGTGAGATTTATATAGGGCGAGAGATTTATATAGGGCGTGAGATTTATATAGGGCGTGAGATTTATATAGGGCGTGAGATTTTTTCTTCAGAATAACATTGGGCATTCTGGATATTACTTTCAATATTACAGGGAGAACAAGGTTAACGACCGTGAAGGTCGTTAACGGTCAGCCCGGTGTGGCTCGTCCGGTGGCGGGAATTCTGTTAGCCAATCAGAATTACCGGGCGAGGTAATGAGTGCTGGTCAGAGCATGAACAGTACTCTACTCACTCCCATTCGGTCGACATGCCGTCGTCGTGTGTGTGTGACCAGTTTGTGAGAAAAGATTAAGTGATATGAAAGCATTTTTCGACATGTTTTGGTGGGTAATTTTGAAGAGATAGACTGGTGTGACCTTTGTGCTTGGCGTTGGTGTGTGTAGGAGCGGTAACGCATTTTTTTTGTTTATTAAGAAATAGGTACATCTGCATTAGTGCAGCTACCCTAGACTATATGAAGTGGAGTACAGTTTGTCAAAAAAGCTAACTAGGTGATGCTAAAAAATCCCCATCACACAGGATGGTTAGTCATACAGAGGCATGTGATAAGCGGTCTGCACTGGCAGACTCCGGATGCATTTTGAGGATATCATCAACACAAGATTGAAAAAGGTAGCGGTAACGCAGCATGACCAAACGTGTACTACACGTGGGGGTGTTCCGAGGCTTGTCAGTGTTTGGTCGAGACTGTCGACCAGTCATTAAATCAACACGCCGGGGGAACATGCAGACTAAAACCGGTGTGGTAGGAGAGGGTCACTGGACCCCGTGTAAGGAGAAGAGCGAAGTCACGTCGTGAGCCAGGTTAAGTGTGCAAGAAGTGCCTGCAGCTAGGAGCCGGCAGCCTGTAGCTAGGAGCCTGCAGCCAGGAGCCAGCAGCTAGGAGCTTGCAGCCTTCAGCTAGGCGCCTGCAGCTAGGAGCCTGCCGCCTTCAGCTAGGCGCCTGCAACTAGTATCTAGCAGCCTGCAGCTAGGAGCCAGCAGCTAGGAGCTAGGAGCCTGCAGCTAGGCGCCTACAGCTAGTATCCAGCAGCCCGCAGCTAAGAGCAAGCTTGACCCTTGGGCGGGGTTATTGGCAGCTTGGAGCAAGAAGTACGCCGCGCGGGTTAAAGATGTGGCCTTGCTATACCTGATCAACCAGACTGTAATACATGCGTCAGGCTGCGAGCAGCGCCGTTCAACAGCCTGGTTGGTCAGTCCATCGACCAGGAGGCCGGGTCCGGAGACCTGTCCACAAGGACCTTGTTCCCCCACAATCAACCCAAGGTAATCTTATTGACACAATTTATATCAAAATTTACCTAATCGCGAGGAAGCTGCTTACACAAGAAAAAATTACCATTGATCTAATTTACAAAATTACACAATACTATCGTTTAGCGAGACTATAGCCTGCTATTTCAGACATTAGGTATATATTTAAATTTACAATTTCATAAATACAGCTTTCTTTTCACGACGACACACCTGGTTGATGGGGTTCTGGGAGTTGTTCTACTCCCCAAGCCCGGCCCGAGGCCAGGCTTGACTTGTGAGAGTTTGGTCCACCAGGCTGTTGCTTGGAGCGGCCCGCAGGCCCACATAATAGGCACCATTCACCGTCTTTGCCACAACCTAGAGTATTAAGATACATCACATCCACTAATTGCTGGTCGAGATACCAGGGGCCAGATTCACGAAAGCACTTACGAACCTGTACATCTTTTCTCAATCTTTGGCGGCTTTGTTTACAATTATCAAACAGTTAATGAGCTCCGAAGCACCAGGAGGCTGTTTATAACAATAACAACAGTTGATTGGCAAGTTTTCATGCTTGTAAACTGTTTAATAAATGTAACCAAAGCCGTCAAAGATTAAGGAAAGATGTACTCGTTCGTAAGTACTTGCGTAACTGCTTCGTGAATCTGGCCTCCAGGATGTCATGTTACTTGTGCTGAACAAGCTAAATTTTCTTAATTTTCCTTAATTTCCTTAATTTTCCTTAATTTCCTTAATTCAGTTCAACATTTAAGTGTTTTGTAGTTGAACGAAAACTAACTTGGCAACCTCACCTAATAATGAGATAATTCCTCGGTATTGTCTTAAGTCAACCAGTATTAAGTAATAACTCGGGTAATACCCTTAACATGCCAGCATTGTAATATTTATGCAAATTCCACGATGGGAGAAGAAATATTCTTAAATACTATATAAATGGAAATAAATTTTTTTTAGAAGTGTCCCATCGTGTTATATAGGCAGCTGCGTCTCGTCAGTGATTGCGTGCGGTTGAGTGAACGAGTGTCCCATCGTGTTATATAGGCAGCTGCGTCTCGTCAGTGATTGCGTGCGGTTGAGTGAACGAGTGTCCCATCGTGTTATATAGGCAGCTGCGTCTCGTCAGTGATTGCGTGCGGTTGAGTGAACGAGTGTCCCATCGTGTTATATAGGCAGCTGCGTCTCGTCAGTGATTGCGTGCGGTTGAGTGAACGAGTGTCCCATCGTGTTATATAGGCAGCTGCGTCTCGTCAGTGATTGCGTGCGGTTGAGTGAACGAGTGTCCCATCGTGTTATATAGGCAGCTGCGTCTCGTCAGTGATTGCGTGCGGTTGAGTGAACGAGTGTCCCATCGTGTTATATAGGCAGCTGCGTCTCGTCAGTGATTGCGTGCGGTTGAGTGAACGAGTGTCCCATCGTGTTATATAGGCAGCTGCGTCTCGTCAGTGATTGCGTGCGGTTGAGTGAACGAGTGTCCCATCGTGTTATATAGGCAGCTGCGTCTCGTCAGTGATTGCGTGCGGTTGAGTGAACGAGTGTCCCATCGTGTTATATAGGCAGCTGCGTCTCGTCAGTGATTGCGTGCGGTTGAGTGAACGAGTGTCCCATCGTGTTATATAGGCAGCTGCGTCTCGTCAGTGATTGCGTGCGGTTGAGTGAACGAGTGTCCCATCGTGTTATATAGGCAGCTGCGTCTCGTCAGTGATTGCGTGCGGTTGAGTGAACGAGTGTCCCATCGTGTTATATAGGCAGCTGCGTCTCGTCAGTGATTGCGTGCGGTTGAGTGAACTAGTTGCGTGGGAGTGATTGCAGGGTGCCGAGTACGTGGTGAGTATTGCGTGGGTCATCCACCCTCGCCTCACCAATGGGGTCATGTCCGGGCTCTCAAGTGGGTATACATGTGACGGAGATGTAATACAAGCTACCGTGCTTGTGTTGGAGTATGCTGTAGCTACCATGGTTGTATCAGAGTATGCTGTAGCTACCGTGCTTGTGTTAGGGTATGCTGTAGCTACCGTGCTTGTGTTAGGGTATGCTGTGACCACTTTCATGCTAAAATACTTGCATGCAAATGAGGGATTCCAACGATTGTGGTAAATAAAATTTGTGTTCGTGCTTTAGAAAATTTTGTGTGTGTGTGTAAGGTATACGTTTGACAGTTTGGGGAAATGAAGGTTGGGGGCACATGTGTAGGAATACCTCCCACACATGTGCTCCGTGGTGGAGCAAGATCTCCAGGTGTACAGTGGTGTGTGTAACTTGCACACAATGTCATCAAACTGCACAGGTGTGCTCATCACGCTCTCTAGTGCGGTACTCGTCAACCCATCACTCCTTCCTCTTGCAGTGACTTAATTGACAGGTGTCCAGCACACGCTAATGTGTGTGTATCTTTGAACTGTAATACTCCTGCTGCTGTTAGCCGCGTCGTGGTCATATTCCCTCCCCCACTTTCCCGCCCCCTCGCTCTCTGGTGCTCTTTTGCGTGCGCTCTTTTGCGTGCTCTCCTGCTCTTGTCTGTTTCACGAGTCCTCTTGATTGGCCGTCATCTAGCAGTCATAACCTACCAGATATAGTGATGGTGGTACATCACACCACTATCTTCGCATCCCTCTTCACATATAGAGTATGTGAAGGGAATAGATGGAGGGAGAAGAGACACCTAGCAAATAGGTGGCCAACATCAGGTTCGTTAGCCAGGTGACGAGTGTCCGCTGTTGTGAAGTGGTACACGCTGGTTTTGACGGCAAAGAGGTGGTTGGTGGTATGGTTAAAGAACTGGATTATAATGACTGGTAGTCCAGAAGGCTATTGGGGATCAGCCTTGTGTTGGAGAGCATAGGTGAAAGTCTGGCGGATGGCTTGGGGTTTCTGCAATGTTGCACCATCGTTGTTTGGGGGGGGGTGTGTTGATTGGCATGTCTGCCTATAAGCTGGAAATTGGGGCGAGTGGATAATAGCAGATTGGAATTGGTTGTTAGGGGAATGATTGGAGCTTCGTTGCACACAGAAATCACAATTGCGTGATGCATCAAATGAACAAATCCACAAGGGCCGTGACGAGGATTCGAACCTGCGTCCGAGAGCATCCCAGACGCTGCTGTAATCCTCATCACGGCCCTTGTGGATTTGTTCACTGGAGTTTGGTGATGGTCGTGAAGTAACAGGTTGTGATGGTTGGCGTGCTGTAGGAGGAGCAGGGTTGTTTGGGGTGGCACTTTAATATTAAGTGGGGTGATGGGTGTTTAGTGGGGGGGGGTGAACAGAGAGGAGGAGGAGGAGACATGATTACGGCGTAAGAAGCAGAAGAGATTTAAAGTGTGGGACGCAAACAAAGTGATCAAGAGGGGGAAGGTTATCAAGGGGGGGGGGATAAGTTTTGTAATGGGTGGGGGAGTACACAAGTGGCGAGTAGGGGGGAGGGGGGGGGGAAGAGTTGTATTAGGGGGGCAGACTTTCATTGGACGCAGCCACCATTGGACGCAGCCACCATTGGACGCACCACCATTGGACGCACCACCATTGTATTCCAGCCGCAAAATTAGTCCTCCCCTAGACAGTATATATAGGAAGATAAAGATATAGAAAAGATAGATATATCTTCATATATATGAATTTATATATATATATATATATATATATATATATATATATATATATATATATATATATATATATATATATATATATATAATATATATAATTTTTTATTACAACTGAACGCAACATATTAATGTAACTAGATCAAGAATATCATGATACACATTTAACATTACTGCAAGCAAGGGAGCCGGTCGGCCGAGCGGACAGCACGCTGGACTTGTGATCCTGTGGTCCTGGGTTCGATCCCAGGCGCCGGCGAGAAACAATGGGCAGAATTTCTTTCACCCTATGCCCCTGTTACCTAGCAGTAAAATTGGTTCCTGGGTGTTAGTCAGCTGTCACGGGCTGCTTTCTGGGGGTGGAGGCCTGGTCGAGGACCGGGCCGCGGGGACACTAAAAAGCCCCGAAATCATCTCAAGATAACCTCAAGATAACCCTAAGAAGATCATTAATCGGTCATTATTAACATTAGCACTGTGGCCTCTCACAGTGTTCGAGAGAACTCGACAAACACCTCCAAAGAATACCTGATCAACCAAGTTGTGATTCATACATCAGGCTGCGAGCAGCCCCGTCAAACAGCCTGGTTGACCAGACGACCAACCGGGAGGCCTGGTCTGAGACCGGGCCGCGGGGCTGTTGAACCCCGGAAGGTACACAAGGTACGGCAGCATGGTAACAACCACTTATACAAACTGTTAATTTAACAAGGCAATATTGCCGCTGATTATAGACGTACAAGTATTAGAATGAGAGACGCCTTGCTTAACCTTATATTTGAGTATTATTTTTTATGTAATTCTTGAACACGTAGCAATTTCACTGTCAGAAGTGTTAATTTAGTTGGATGTAATATGGTGTGGAGTAAATACCTGGCCAACCGGTTTGCTGGGTAAGTAGGCTAAACATGTGTAGCCTGAGGTAGGTAGGTAGGGGTGTGTGTGTGTACTCACCTAATTGTGCTTGCGGGGGTTGAGCTCTGGTCCTTTGGTCTCTTTGGTGTGTGTGTGTGTGTGTGTGTGTGTGTGTGTGTGTGTGTGTGTGTGTGTAATTACCTAAGTGTAGTTACAGGATGAGAGCTACGCTCGTGGTGTCCCGTCTTCCCAGTACTGTCATATAACGCTTTGAAACTACTGACGGTCTTGGCCTCCACCACCACCTCCTCACCTAATTTGTTCCAACTGTGTGTGTGCGCGCTCGCCTAATTGTCCTCGCGGGGGTTGAGCTCTGGCTCTTTGGTCCTGCCTCTCAACTGTCAATCAACTGATGTATAGATTCCCGAGTCTACTGGGCTCTATCATATCTACATTCGAAACTGTTTATGGAGTCAGCCTCCACCTGTGTGTGTGTGTGTTACTGCCGTGGTTGTGTATTGAAAAAATGTATTAATGCAATCTTTAAAAATT